TGGGCTCAAGCCCCGGATGTTTTCTGAAAAGCCCTGAATGTGAATTTTACTTTGGAAAAAAAAAAGGCTCGTGAGTAATGTGAAGTACCAGAGTCCAATAGAGAGGCAGCAGCTGCGGGAAAGTAGCCTGCGTACTGTGTAGCCTGCCTGGGCCTGCCCTGAAGAAGAAGTGTTTCCTTGTTAATTATTCTCCAGGGTAACATTTTTTTTTCATGACCGTTGGTGAAAGCGGAGCACTTCCAATTGTCAGTGAACAGCCGGTGTTCACGGCGAATACCCAGATCACCACTCCATGCATTAGAGGTTTTTTGGAAGAGCACACATAGTGACAGGCTGATCCCACCAAAATGTAAGGAGATACAGAAAATCTTTTCTGCCTGCTGCCATAAGGCTTTTAATGAGACAATGTCTTCAGTTTGTTGCTGAACAACTTTTTCATTCTCTTCTCCATTCATATATTAACAATACATCTCTGTCCTCTCCTGCAGGAATGTATCCAGCTCTGTCGCTCCGACCTCACCGCAGAGACACCTGTCATCCCAGGCGACAACCACCTCCAACCCGTTCCTCTATCAGATCTCGATTCTCTGCCTCCCCTCCCTCTTTTATCTTCCCCCTCCTCTCCTCAGGCCAAGCGCTCCTACTCCATGGAGCATTTCCGCTGGGGGAAGCCTGTTGGACGAAAGCGCCGCCCGGTCAAAGTCTACACCTCAAACGGCGTAGAAGAAGAGTCAGCCGAGCTTTTCCCCGGAGAGATGAGGAGGCGGGAGCTCACCAGCAAGCTGCTTGCAGCAGAGGAAGAGGAGAAGGCGCAGGAGGTGGCAGAAGACGAGCAGGAGCAGCTCCCAGGTGACATCCATGAAAAGAAAGACGGCGGGTACAAGATGAAGCACTTCCGCTGGGGTGGCCCGCCGGCCAGCAAACGCTATGGTGGCTTCATGAAGAGCTGGGATGAACGCAGCCAGAGGCCACTGCTCACGCTCTTCAAAAACGTCATCAACAAAGACGGACAGCAGGAGGGAGAGCAGTGAGGGAGTAAGAAGGAGAGGGAGGAAAGAGCTCGAAGAGGAGCAGAGACATCGGCCAACAAATCCTCCAAAATAAAAACAAGATATGATGTTTGTCACTGATTTAAAAAAAAAAAACTCACCCATCTGAGTGTTTTTCTGACTCCTTTATTGGCACCTACCTGTCTCCTATAAATTACCTTTATATATACACAACTTGTTTTTTCTTTTACGTGCTTATGAGAAATCATTGCCTAAATAACATTCACTTGCAACTAACAATTATTTTCATACCGAATAATCTTCTGATTAACTAGGTTGCTAGCGTAATGCTACATTAACAGAAAACAGACTACACAGTTAACAACAAGCAACTTTCAGTGTCAGCCAGCCAACTTGCTCCCACACATGGGCTTCTCTGTCTTTGTTGTGACAGTAGATAGTAGCTAAAGGAGGGGTTATTTTCGACTAGTAGCACTCGGAGTGCCGTCACTGGGAACAACTGGAAAAAGACACCAGCACTGAGAAAAAGAAAAGAAAAAAAAACACTGTGTGGACACAGGCACCTTTTTTCAAAACTCCAAGTTGACATTGTCAAATTTCGTACTATTGCGGTAAATATTCATAATGGAGCATTTTTGCTTAAATTAATGACTTTAACAAGAAATTGATTGTCAAAATATTTGCTGATTCTACCATCAGGGTGGATGGATAGTGCACAGGGTGCAGGACGTTGACACCAGAGAGCAGGGTTTGCATCTTGACTCCTGCGTGTGATCAGGTTTAGACAACAGAATCTCCTCAGTTGAGTTTAGGGGAAGATGGTTGTTTGGGTAAAAACATGATAATGTGACCTCGCTGTTGACTCAGTATTAAACCACAACCATGATACTCCCAAACCTTAAAGGCCTGAAAGCATATTTTCTCAACCAGCTTCTTGCCACGACTGAAGGCTTCCCATGAACACACACTTCTCTGCCAAAGTTAGTTTTTAACATAATAGATTTAAAAATATAATGTATCCATTTATAAAGAAATAGGACTATTTCAGATTTGGGCTTTTATGAGCACTTAAACATAATATTAAAAAAGTTTGCTTTAGTTGCTACATGTGTGTGTGTATAGCAACAACAGAAAAGAAAAATCAGTTTCAAATTTTCCACATTATTTTGACTTAAAACACATTCCCCAACTTGCTGTTCTAAATAAGTACTGTATAAATGTAATTTCGTGGAGACGGTGTTACAACACTAGACATCGACATTTGTCAGTGATTCATATTAACATTTTCTGCTCTGCCACCTTGATGGTTAGTTTGGTTCAGTTCAGGCAACTACTCGGTGGAGATCAGGAATTATGGTTGTCATGATTTCACATTAACTGTAAGCAGGAGAAATTATTTTCATACTTTAATGACCAATCAATGACTGTAACTCCACCCACAGGGATCGGACCAGGAATGAGAGAGAGACAGAGAGATGAACAGAAAAAGATAGAAAAATGTTTTATATATTCATTCATGTAAATAGCTATAAATAAAGTGAAAAAAACGTTATTTGCAAGCAAACATGTGAGATGTTATTTTTTACTATCTATCTTCTGTATCTATCTGTGTGCAAAAAGTTAACGCACAGCCCTGCTATTTATTTTATTATCATTTCTTATTTACATGTTGTGCAGCTGTATATTTTCAAACAGGGAACTTTTGAGCACTTCTGTTCTTATAGAAGTGTTTGTGACATCTCAAATGTAGCTTTGACTTGCAACTGACAATGTAGCCCATTTCATAGAAAATACTGAGATATATATTATTATAGGAGCTAAGTCTTATTCTAGCTACTGAGATACTTGACCCAGAGTAACCTGGTTGACGCGCCTTGCTAACTTACTGGTTTCTCACCCTAACGTTACCGTTCTTGATGCTCAGTAAAAGAGTCCAGACGCTGGTCTTCTGGTGCATTATAACGAACATTTATTCGGATTTATTAACAACTGATCAAACAAAGAAAACGCCGACAGTTAGCGCCACAGTGGTCAAAAACCTTTTGCCCTTCCGGGTCAAACACCTGATGATCATAGTGAGGTCACATCCTAACATACCTGAACTCACCAGGTGACAGTACAGCGCCCCCCAATGCCCACACAGTGAATTACAGTCAGAAGCAAACCTCCCAATAACATATTTGGCTCCTATATATATTGTGTATTGGCAGTCAGCCTGTAAATACTGAGATATGAATTTTTGTCCATATCCCCCAGCCCTAGTTGGCTACAGTTTAAAGATTATTTTTTTGGGCTTTTTGCCTTTAATGGACAACCTGTGACCACTGCAGCAAGGCATCGCCTCTGTACATGGGGTGCCGGTACTATCCACTACGCTACCGATGCCCCGTTGGCTACAGTTTAAAAAGTGGTAAAGCAGATTTATACTTGCAGAGCCTATTTAACATCTGTGGAAGGGGCATGGACAGATGAGGAATCAAAGATATTGTTTTCCAACGTTTATTCACTCCTGCAGAGGACAATATGGCACATTAATTGCCTTCTAGACACCTATTTCTGCTCCCTACAGTAAGTGGAGACATGCCCCCTTACGGCTTGATACTATTGGACCTTTTCCCGGTTGACCTATTACGTCACAAACCAAACAACCATCAAACAAGTTTGCTACTGTTACCTAGCAGCAAACTGGTACCATGGTGGACAACTTTACAGCTCTGTACATTTCATCCATCCAAAAATGCACAGCTCTGGAATGATGTAGATTTTGCCACATTGTTACTGGCTTCTTATTCTGTTACGCATTTAATGCTATTCGACTTCTGAGTCAAAGCCCTGAGTGGAAACTGTAGAGCACGCGCAGAGCGCCTTGGCCAGTTTGCGTCTGATTGACTGTATACACGCGGGAGGAATTCAGCTCCCAATCACGTTATCTGGGTATGTTAGTTCGACTTTGAGAAATTTGATTTAGTACGATTTCAGTCGGGCTAACATGTTTACATGCATTCTAAAAGTTCGATTTTAGTCAGACTAACACAATTAATCGATTTTCTCTAATGTCACGTAAATGTACTAACAGCTAAACAATATGAAGATATGATCAGATATGAAGCACTTTAAGAAAACAGATGGAATTCTTTTGTATAACTGTGCTGAAGCACTTTTTCTGATATATAAAAATTGTGCATTGTTGTTAGGGTTTGTTCGGTTCTCGGTAATACCAATTCGGTTCGGTACTCCGTCTTGGACCGGGTTTTATTTTTTGAGACCGACCGGACCGCATACTCGGGCAGAACGTACGCGGAGCGGACACCGCGGAGGTCCGCCCGGTAAAAGTGGACGTCCGCAAGCCCTGTGCGCGCAAAGCACGACCACGCGGACTTCGCTCCGCACACCAGTGTCACACAAAAGACTGTTCGGCATGTATTTTTCACATCGCTGGGATTTTACACAGACATTTTTACACGTAGTCCGCTCTGCTTATAGTAAGCCCGACTCTGTGAGCACCCGTGTCTGCCTCTTCGCCAAGCGCACAGCAAGCAGGAGAGAGAGAGGACTGATCAAGGAGGTGCAAGTGCGCATGCGCCTCTACTGTAGCCTGGAGTTTGTTTAATAGTGACGGAGAGTCGATAATCGCGGACAGTTTAGTCTCGACAAAATCAAGGAATGCGCCACTATGGCAACACTTTGGCTTTGAGCCAGACAAAGGAGGCAACCCTTGTTTGCACTGATTGAGTAAGCTGCAAAATTTATTTGTAAGGAATAAAAGAAACAACTTGTTACTGTCACTTTGTTGTCCTAAGGTCGTTTTTTTATTTTAAATGAGTCAATTGCGCCACCAAGTGGCGAAAATCCGGTATTACCGACTTGATGCGTTTTTTTTTACAAAAACCGGACCGTTTTTTTTTTTTTGTCATACCGACCCAACCCTAATTGTTGTGTTACATCAAATTCACTGGTATTCATTAGATTAGATAGATTTGGAAAATCTTCTTATTGAATTGTTAAAAATTTTATTCACTCATCACATCATTACACACCCTTTCTAAAGACAAAAATGTAAAACACAGAATTTAGAAAAAACAAATCCATAAAAACAATCAAAAAGGGATTACATATGGTGCTACAAAACATCTGTAACAAGTCTACACACAAGACCCAGGACAAAGATGCCTAATTGAAGAACAACTCTCAAAATACACATTGCATCAGAGTTAAAATAGGCTTGAAAACTCATGTATTCTGTTGAAAAAAGGTCTGTTATGACCATTTATTGTCATTTTAACTATTAGGTGGTGTCTGCATTCAGATTCCTCGTCCACTGAAATGGACAGAAAAAATAACACATAATAAAGTATCCTAATCATGCTAATGCATTTAGAGTAGAAATCCACCATTACAATGTTTATTTTGTGTTTAGAACATATTTGGGTTCTGAACAGGTTAATCAAACATTACATGTAATACCAAAAGGCACAGCGCCATAAAATGACTACATAATGTAAAGGCAAATACAAACAAGCTTATTGTGACTGTGTATAGGGATGATGTTATGGAGAAAATCAAATATCACAGCATTTTTTATCAAATACCTTGATGTGATACTCTGATGATACTATTGACTATTGGGGCTTTTACAAAATATTTATACCATGAGATTTCTGATAAATAATCATCAGTAATGATTAATGTGGATATAATGGCTCAGTGGGTAAGGCAAATAATAGAACAGCTAGAACAGTCTGGTAAGTTCAGATAATTACATCACTTTAATGTAATGCAGCCTTTAAAACCAAGAAGAGACGACACCAACCATATTACGATATCCAAAATCTAAGACAATATCTAGTCTAATATCACCATATCGATACAATATCGATATATTGCACAGTCCTCATTGTGTAGCTTCATCTTAACTGAAAAGATGTATTCTGGAGTCCGTATAAGGGGAAAAGGTCTGACAGTTTTTAGCTAATCATTGTTAAATCAAGTCTTTCCCTCAGTCCTTCAATTCTGCTGGAAAAAAAATCTCTGCAGCTTCACGTATTTCTTTCGCTCTCACCAACACACGTGTTTTTAAAAGAAGGAGCCAAGTGAATCTTTTATCACAAAGGCTGTAACTAATTAGTTTCTCCCATGTGGACCATAAACTGTACCATTCACTGTGTTTACATGTACAAAATATTCCAGTTTTGCCCTTATTCTGACAAAGAAAATTTTCCTAAGCTCTTTACATGAAAATGAATATTCCAATAATATTCCCATTTACATGCAGCCATGAGTTTCCTACCAGTGGCTGACTTATTAGACCTTACCAACACAACCTCATTGTTTCATTCCTTCAACCACCTTCTTGAAAAGGTCAATCTTGTGATATTTGCACATAAGATCCTACATGCAAGTATTACATAATGTTTGAAAGTGGGTGTATTTCCTCTTCCAAACAGAAATGTGGGCTTTTTCTTTGGGCATGCATCTCTGCACCAGCCCTGCAAACTGTTGGCAAGTTGGTTTTTGTTTAACATCTCCATGACAACGCACAGAGCTGACAAGACAGACAAGAGGCCATGTGTTGCAAACTGTGGTAAAAACCCAAGTTGAGACACATATTCTGAATGCTGTATACATGTCCAAATGATGCTTTTAAAACCTGAGTAATACTGACATATCCCACGTCTTAATCTGAAAACAAAACATGCTAACCTGTACCAAATTCATAATATTGTCATACTCAGTATACTAGGGGAATATCAGTGTGCATGTAAACATACTCATTGTTTCCCACAGAATTAGAATCTATGTGTGGTGGTAGCTGACGGCTGGGGGAGGCACATCATTCTGTGTCCCCTCTCTGAATTCTGAGGTTTTTGCGGGTCCATAAAACAGCACAGGCGGAACTCTTCATGACTTTTTTGTTTTTTTTCTCCTCAGTAACAGCTTTGTGAGTTGAGTCGCGGGGTAGAGATTTGAACAGTCCTCAGTCTCTGTCAGATCCACCCCTTGTTCCTTCCACAGCTTCACTGTGGATACTACTGGCTCCAAAAACCCAAAACGGCTACAGCCAAAATGCCAAACTACAGGCTTCAAAATGGGAGTCAAAAAACCATTGGGTGACTTCACGGTAGCTAAATCCATTATTTTTCCAGTCTATGGCTCTGCTGCTCCGTCTGTGCCTAAAGTATGTGCTGCGCTCCGGGAGCGCGGAGCTCTGAAAAACTGAACGGGATATATTCCAGCAGTGCTCCAAATTAATGGTCAATCTCCAAAAGTAGAAAATCAATATGTGGATGCAAATGCTGATATCAAGACAGGCTGCCACAAATGATTTCATGTGTGAGAAACCCTGACTATATAATCAAGATGTACAACATGACAGCTCCCCATAGTGAAGCCAGAACATCTGGATCGCCATGGTGAATGGCTGCAGTAGAGGTTGTAAACCTCACATCCTCCTGTTTGTGTTATAAAAAGAGGGAGGGGGTGTGGGTGTGTGTGTGTGTGTGTGTGTGTGTGTGTGTGTGACATGACTGACAGCTATCTGTGCCAACCGGTGTGATCATTGGCACTACTTGTGATAGGTCAGACAGGTATATAGACAGAACTTGATACTAAGGAGAATACTACTGCACAGACTCTAGCTCTAGATGACATCACCAGTGCTAGCTAGCAGCTGCCATATCCTGGATGTTTTGGCTTCATCTTTGCACAGTGGGAGGAAATGAAGAGATACTGTTCATCTCTATATACAGTCTGTGGTGTGGACAGTCAGGTGATATTTCAGGTGTGGCTTTTGTGTGAATCGTTTCCACAAGTTGAACAACCAAACCAAAGTTTCTGCTTAGCATGGATTTTCAAGTGTCGTCGCAGATTCGATTCATCTGCGAATCTTCTACCACAAACTGAACAACCAAATCGTTTCTCCCCCGTGTGGACAGTGAAGTGTCGTTTCACGTCTCCCTTGGATGTAAATCCTTTACCACAAACTGAACAACTAAATGGTTTCTCCCCTGTGTGAACAATCAGGTGATGTTTCAGCTGTCCCTTCTGTGCAAATCTTTTACTACAAACTGAACAACTAAATGGTCTTTCCCCTGTGTGGACAGTGAAGTGGCGTCTTAGATGATCTTGTCGTGTGAATCTTTTGCCACAAACTGAACAACTAAATGGTTTCTCCCCTGTTTTGATTCCAGTGCGTTCCTGCGGATGTCCCTTGTGGCCAAAGCTTGTAGCACATTCAGAGGAGCTAACTGATGCTTTTCCAGTATTAGATTCGATGTCACTTACAGGTACTTCAATATTTTGCAGCAGGTTTAAACCTGACTGAGGTTCCTGAGTGTCCTCCCAATCTGTACTGTCATCATTCGCAGGTTCAGAGTGTGAAGTCTTGTCATCGGTATCTGGTTGTAAATGTGTATCTAGCTTTGAGTACCTGGCTGGTTCTGGTCCTTCACAGTCCTCTCCATCAGCATCTGTTTCCATCTGTTCAGTTTGTCTTTGAAGAAGCTGTGACGACTGAGCTTTCTCTTCATCATCTTCTTCACTTTTCACAGGGACAGAAGTGAGTGTGAACTTGATATCAGCCTCTTCCAGCCCTTGAAGCTGCTCTCCCTCCTGTTCCTCTTTAATGTCTGGGAGCTCTGGGTCCTCCTGGTCCACACTGGCAGTCAACTCCTGCTGCTCAGGGGGAACCTCTTCTTTAACCAACAGCTGCTGGACATCTGCTGGAAAGAGTTAACACACACACACACACACACACAGACATTAATACACACAGAGACAGCTCAAACTCCTTATTGAAGGCTTCAAAAGTATCAAGTCTCTTATCAATCTCTTGACGTCACCATTCACCTTTTCTATAGCCAAAGTTCTGAATATTTCAAACTAAAGATTCAGCTGAGATTTGTCATCCCATTTGATTTATCCCTGTGCCATTTACGTCTTACTCATGACATTCATTTAAAATGCCTGGAGGACGCAGTGGGTCTGCAGGGTCCTGTGCTACAATCTGTATATCCTACCAGAAAGAAAAAGCCTTCTCAGTCACTATAGGAAAGCGTTCCTCATCTCATGCTCCCATCCATTGTGGCATTCCAAAGGTTCACTTCTAGGCCCTCTCTTATTCTAATTATACATGCTTTCCCTCGGCTGCATCTTTCAGAGACACAACATTGTGTATCACTAGTACGCAGACAATACACAATTTAATCTACCAGTTACACCTGACAGCGCCTGCTCACTGGAAAAGCCCTTTAAATATCTAAATGACTTCAAATGTTGGATGGTGAAATTCTTCCTCCAACTAAATGAAAACAGAACCAAAGGGATCACGTCTGGTCCTCCTAGCTCTGTCAGCAGTCTAACTAAGGCGCTTAGGTACCTATCTGCAAACTTGCACAATACTGTTAAAAATCTTGGTGTCTTGGTGGATGCTTAACTGAATTTTAACAAACAAGTCAGTTGTCCCAATCCGGAAGACGCTCGGAGTAGAGCCGCTGCTCCTTCACGTCCAAAGGGGTCAGTTGAGGTGATTTGGGCATCTGATCAGGATGCCTCCTGGGCGCCTCCCGCTGGAGGTGTTTCAGGCACATCCCACAGGTAGGAGGCCCCGGGGCAGACCCAGAACACACTGGAGGGATTACATATCTCATCTGGCCTGGGAACGCCTTGGAGTCCCCCATGAGGAGCCGGAAAGCGTTGCTGGGGAGAGGGACATCTGAAGTGTTTTGCTTGACCTGCTGCCCCCGCGACCCGGCCTCGGATAAGCGGATGAAAATGGAATGGAAGTCAGTTGTGTTGAGAAGAGCAGTTTATGGTCAAAATTTTAGCAAAATTACAGCTGTTTTTATTTATTCATTAGGACCTGGGAAAAGTTATCTATGCTTTTGTTACCTCTCAGCTTGATTATTGTAATTCGTTGTGGCAAATTGTTCCCAACCTGGGCCAGGAAAGCAATCTGGAGCTCTGGTCAATTCTTTGTCAACCCACTTGTGTCGATACTATAAAGGTAAAACACTTGAAGCTGGCAGGACATGATGCGATAGACTTTAGTGTGCAATCAATACACACAATAAAGCCCCCTCACCCTTGGTGTCACAGTAAAGTTGACCTTTGACCTTTTGGATAAAAAAAAGAAAAAAATCATCACTTTCTCATTTTATCCTATTGTACATTTGTGTGAAGTTTTGTCATAATTAGCATAAGAATTCTAGAGCTATGACAAAAAACATGTATTGTGAAGAAATACCCGCAACATACTCTTGAGATATTGTGTTCACAAGAATAGGAAAGATGAGGTGACACTGACCTTGTCCTTTGACCTATGACCACCAAAATCTAATCAGTTCATCATTAAATCCAAGGGGATGTTTGTGCCAAATTTGAAGAAATTCCTTCAAGCTATTCTTGAGATTCCGTTTATGTGAATGTGATGGATGCAAAGTCACACTGACCTTGACCTTTGACCCCTGACCACCAAAATCTTATCAGTTTATCATTAAGTCCAAGTGAACATTTGTATTAAACTTGAAGAAATTCCTTCGAGGCATTCTTGAGATATCACGTTCACAAGAATGAGACAAACAAGGTCACAATAACGCTGACCGTTGACCTATGACCACCAAAAACTAATCAGATCATCCTTGAGTAGAAGTGGACATTTGCATATGCATTGTGACAACAGAAGCTGGATTCTTTTCTTTTTTATAACACGTATCAGCATAAATCGTTTCCTCATGAGGTCCCGCTGCCCAGCCTGTCCCTCCAGTGTCCCATATTCCCTTACTATTTTTCTGTCCAGTTGATACTCCCGTGCTCCCTCCTTCACACTGCTCTGAGCTGACTTTTAGGAGCCCCTTCTCTATGTAGACATTGGGCCAGAAGCAGGGTACACCCTGGACAGGTCACCAGACTGACAGACAACCATTCACGCTCACATTCACACATACGGATGATTTAGAATCACCAATTAACCTGCATGTCTTTGGACTGTGGGAGGAAGCCGGAGCACCCAGAGAAAACCCACGCTGACACAGAAAGAACATGCAAACTCCACACAGAAGGGCTCCCCCACCCCAGGTTCAAACCAGGAACCCCCATGCTGTGAGGCGATAATGTTGACCACTGCACCTGCACCACTGTGCTGCCCAAACCACCAGGAAACCGCTGACAAGAAAACTATGAATTCAATGTATAAATCAGTGTTAAAGCCAAAATAGATATCAGTGTCTATCAATGTTTATTACCCAGTAAAATAATTTTGCATTTAGGGACTGTTTGTTACTTATTAAGGGGGAGGGGTGGTGCAAAAAAGGGGAGGCACGTCCAATAATTTTAAACACTGGAAGGAGTCTTATTTTGACTTAGGGGAGGGGGATACAAATTTAAATGGCTGTTTACTGTATTTATTTTACCGCCAATTAAAAAATAAAATAAAAAATAAGCCTTCCAAACCCGCCTTAAAGCATGTTTTCCGTAAAACTTGCCAAAATTACACCATTTTTCATGTCAGCTTGCTTTGGAAATGTAAACATTCGTTTCCCTTGATGGTAATAAAGCCCTTTTGTAACGATTTCAACTACACCCCACCCCATCACATTATTTTTCATGAAACTGTTTACAAGGACTGACCAGCATACACAGCAAGAGTTAAAAAAACAAGGCTTTTTACAAGGCTCAAGGAAAAATATTTGAAGAGTCAAGGAGGGTCAAAAAACGCAGTCACACTCCAGCCACTCCCTTCTACGATAAGTAAAGAACAGTCCCTTACATGCTTAATAATGAATTTGTTTAATGAACAAACCTGCTCTGTGTAACTGAAGCCGAGGGTTGAAAACAGCGTCCAGTAGTTTCCGTTGTCGCTCGTTCTCCTGTTTTGATCTAGAAAGTTCCTCCTCGTACTCTGCTATCGTTCTTTCAAACAGCCCAAATATATCTTCAGCAGCCGCAGTTAGTCGCTGCTTCACCAACGCTCTCAGCATTTGGGCTTTAGGCATTTTTTCACACAATGACACAAACTTTTTCTCCACGTCAAAAACAATGTTTGCTCTCAATCAGTCACTCTGACAAGCGCTGTGTTGCTAACTTCCGTCCCCGTCAGTCTGTTTCTAGCTAGCATGCTAAGCTAACTTTAATAGCTTTGTAGCCTAACGGGAGATGAGTCAGAGGAAAAGCACTAACTGAAAAAGTCCATTCAGACATACAGAGGCCCTGGTGGATCACTACCGCTGGAGGTCACACACACTTTCTCACTAACAACACACGGACACCGCTGTTTCTGCTAATGTAAAGCGCCATATTGCTCAAAGAGTAATATCCGGTTCCGCTGTAACTTGTTCTTCTTCTTCTAATAAAGTCCCGGCAGGCTGTACGCTAATAAAGCGTAAGGCTGCCCTCCGCAGACAAGAGTTTACTATTCACTCTATATTTTTGAATAAAGTCCAGGGGCCATATTCACAAAGCTTCCTAGCACAAAGAGTAGCTCCTAACTATAAAAGTATAAGAAAATTCTTATATTGTGACATTTTCTTCGAATTTCCCCTTAAAGTTAAGACTAGGTCCTTGTAAAGATAAAAGTTATTTACAGAGTATCTCAGAACTTCTAAGAGCTCCTAAGGTGAAAAACTGTTAGGAGCAGGGAGGAGGACTTTTAAGAGGCTTAAGAGTTTCTTAAGTAGAGGAGAAAATGGTGGAAACACAGTGAGGTCGGAGAAATATTCTTCAAACACTGGATGATGGTGAGTAAATTAAATGCTACAGATTAGATCATGCAGGGATACTATATTTGGTTGATCTTATTAGGGATACACACACATTTCCTACCTAACGCAAAGACACCAGAAATAAAATAATCACAACACTAAGATATTTGGAAAACTGTCAGCGGTATGGTCATACTGTTAATGTATGCAGAGGAAAGCAGAGATGCGATAGACGTGGAGGTGAAGATATGCACAGAAAATGTAGTAGCAATGATGTGATTAAATGTGATAACTGCAGAGGAAACCACACAGCAGCTTATGGAGGGGGCACAGTCAGGAAGCAGGCAGGAGAGATTCAGCAACTGAAATCAGAGCAGAAAATAACATATGCAGAAGCAGTAAAGATCTACAACAGTGAAAGAAGACCAAGCCCAATACAACAGCAGGACCAGGACAAACTCAGAACAACAACACAGGAATAGTGATGGACAGATAAGTGCTATTTTTCACTTACGTCATCAACTGCTCAGAACAAGCAAAAACCAAGACAGAAAAAACAAAACAAAATCATAGTTAAGGCAGCAGCCAAATTCCTAAATATGAAAGACCTATCATGGGAAAAGATACATGCAGATCTTTGTCAAGGAGAAGGGACCTCAGAGGGAGCCTCTGTCATCATACCATAATGTTATTGCTTCAGTGGAACGCTAGGAGTCGTTCAGGAGTTTAAAGGCTATATCAACAAATTAAAAAGGAAACCAGATGTCATATGCATACAGGAAACATGGTTCAAGCCAACAATGGACTTCATAATTAAGGGAAACACTGGCATACACAAAGACAGAGTCAATGGAAATGGAGGGGTGTGTGCAGTATTTGCTAAAGAATGTATAAAGTATAGAGTATTAAGGACGATTCAAGAATAAGAGCTAGTAGTTATTGAAGTTCTGTATGGGACAAGAGGGAAAGTGTGAAGGTAATCAGTTTTTATAACTCATTCAAAAGATTAGAGAAACGCAATCTGGAAGCAATATTGCATCACTGGAGAGGAAATATCATCTGGTATGGTGACTGTACTGCTCAGAGCACAGTATGGGGAGAGACAGCACAGTATGGGGAGAGACAGAAGATTTAAATGGAGAAATTATGAGGAAGTAATGGAGGAAAAAGAATTGGCATGTATAAATGATGGGTCAGGCACAAGGGAGGATTTGGGGAAGGGAACAGAATCAGCAATAGATATCACCTTGGTATCACAATCTTTAGCTGGGAAAACTAGGTAGTAAGTACATAAAGGAAGCACTATAGGAAGGGATCATAACCCAGTATTTATAAACACAGGAGTGGAAAGGAAAGGAAATAAGGAAGGAAATGAAACAGGATGAGAGAGAAGGAAGATGGATATTTGATAAAGCTGACTGGAATAAGTTTATAATAACAACTGAAGGAAACTTAAGAAAGGTAAATATAAACCAAGACATTGATGAACTCAATGAAGAAATAAGCAGCATTATTCTAGGAGCAGGAGACAGAGAGAGAGAACAGTAGCAAGAAACATAGAAGCACTGCAAGATGATATGGAGGATGGGAGTGCGATAAATATGATGTTTACAATAAAAGAGCTAAATAGTGCACTGAACAAGGCTAGGAAAACAATGCCAGGGAAAGACTAAATAAGCTATTGTATGTTTAAAAATTTAAGTGATATGAGTAAAGAAATATTATTAATAGTATATACGGTAGTCAAATATTGGAAATAGGATATTTACCCTAACAATGGAAACAGTCAGTTATTGTTCCCATATGTAAGCCAGATAAGATCTAAGTTTGGCAGAAAGTTATAGACCATTAGCTTTGACCTCACATATAGGAAAGACTATGGAAAAAAGTGATAAATGAAAGACTGAGGTATCACATAGAAACATAAGAACTATTAAAGAATCATCAAAGTGGATTTAGAAAAGGAAGGATTACAATGTTTAGAAATGTTTAGAAACTGGAATTAGGAAAGCTCAAATTATTAAAAAAGAGTTCAATGGCTAAATTTTTGATGTGGAGAAGGCTTATGATATGATGTGGAAACAAGGTTTAATGATTAAGTTATATCAAATAGGAATAAGTGGTAGAATGTATGGATTAGAAACTTTTTAATGGATAGATTAATATTGGTAAGAGTAGGAAAAGCGTGTAGTGCTAAGCACTTAGTGGAAAATGGAACCCCTCAAGGAAGTATAGTTAGTCCCATTCTGTTTTCAGTGATGATAGACAAAGTGTTCAGTAGCATTGATAGATCCATAGGTGTTGCATTATTTGCAGATGACAGGATTATGTGGAAAAGGGGGAAGAATATAGATTTCATAGTAAACTAGAAAAAGCATTTCCTGCGGAACATGCGTGTGGATGCTGAATACTGAAATGAAAGAAAATGCTGAAAAGCTGAAAATCCGAAAATATCAAACAAATTGCCACAAACATCTGAAACTCCTCACAGAGCTGAAAGTTTTGAAATTTTTTAATTTTTTTTTAATAACCAAATTTTATTCAACATTTCTGCAGGTGTAACAAGGTAGTATTACACAACCATATTTTTTCCCAGTAAACAGTTACAATATACACAGAGAGTAATACTACAAAAGTAATCAGCAAAATGAGTAAATACATAAATATGTTAAGGAAGAGTGAAAGATAATCAAACAACAGAAAACATAAATGACAGCAACAAGCAAAAAACAACAACAGCAGCAAAAAAAAAAAAAAAAAAAGAACTGTAATATGATATATAGTCAGCATGTACTTCCTGGAATACTATCCAACCAATCGTACCATGAAATTTCAGTCCAGTGAGATAGATTGCATTCTTTGGAAGTAAGAGATGAGAGGCTGCCAATACCTGTAAAATTTGTCTGTTGAACCACGAATGGTGAATTTGATCTTTTCCAGTTTTATGAATGACAATAGGTCCCGCAGCCAAGATGTATTTGAGGGGGGTGAGTGACTCTTCCATAGGAGGAGAATCTGACGACGGGCGATTAATGAGGCAAAGGAGAGAACATTAATTTGTTTAGCAGTCATTATAACTCCCTCCTGAGGGATACCGAAAATGGCAATTTGAGGTGAAGGGACTAATGTCAGCTTGAGTACCTCTGACATAAAATTAAAGAAGGACCTCCAGTACTCTGCCAAATTTGGGCATAACCAAAACATATGAGACAGGTCTGCCGGCGCCTGAGAGCACCTATCACAAGTATCAGAGAGATTTGGGTAAATCCTTGATAATCTGGCTTTACTATAATGGATCCTGTGAATCCACAGGATTCAGACTGAATGAGGCTAAGCCTTGCGCAGGAGGAGGAAGAATTTATTGCATGTAATGCATCGTCCCACCATTCCTCAGTCAAGACGATGCCCAGTTCAGCCTCCCAACTAGTCTTGATCTTATGCAGGGCTGGGGGTGGGGTTGTCCTTGATAAAAGATTATAAATAAAGGAGATATGTCCCTTTGATAAGTCACCAACTGGAAGAAGATGGTCAACACCTGACGGCGGTGGAGCTTGTGGAAATGCTGAGGAGTTGAATTTGACAAAGTTGCGAATTTGAAAGTATCTAAAAAAGTCAGACTGCTGAAGGTTGAATGTGGAGCATAACTACGAAAAGCTAGCAAAGAGACCATCAATATAAAGGTCACCTAGGCAGGACAGGCCTTGTCTGCTCCAGGAAGCAAACTTTGAATCGATCCTGGCTGGTTGAAATAGTTGATTGTTACAAATAGGTGTAGCTAATGGTAAAGAGATCCAACCGAATTGAAGTCTAACCTGCTGCCAAATTCTCAGAGTGTTAATAACCATGGGGTTGGTGGAGTATAGTCTAGGTTTAAGTGGAAGGCTGCTACATACCAAGGCTTTTAATGATGAAGGAAAGACAGGAGCTAGCTTCTAGGTGAACCCAAGTGCTATCCGTGTCTGAGATCCAGAGTGCAATTTTGTGTAAGTTGGCTGCCCAGTAATATAACTGAAAGTTGGGTAAACTGAGTCCTCCCTGTGATCTTCCCCTCTGGAGGAGGGATTTATGAATTCTTGGATTTTTACCTCCCCATATAAAATTTAAAATCATTGAATCCAATTGACAAAAAAAAGCGTTTAGGTAAGAAAATGGGTAGACATTGGAATAAGTATAAATATTTTGGAAGCACATTCATTTTAATAGATTGTACTCTACCTATAAAAGAGAGAGGTAGGTAGCTCCATCTTTATAGATCTGACTTTACCTTGATTGACAAAGATGTAAACTTTTCCTCTTGAAGAGAGTGGATGGAGCTAGTGATAATGATTCCTACATATTTAAACCTAGTTGTGGATAGTTTGAAGGGTATACTAGATTGTGGTATTTCACGGGCTAACTGGTTAATAGGAAAGCATTCCCTTTTCTGTATATTTAGTTTGTACCCAGAGAAGGTGCCAAAGGATTTGAGAGTAGATAAAATATGTGGGATGGAAACTACTGGGTTGGAAACATAAAGGAGCAGGTTATCTGCGTACAAGGACACCTTGTGCTTGATTACGCCTCTACTTATACCTGAGAACATTGTATTATCTTTAA